AGAGAGAGAGAGAGAGAGAGAGAGAGAGAGAGAGAGAGAGAAATAAGAGGGAAAGAAATAATGTACAGGCAAAGAGAGACAGTGACTCTAGCATCGACTCTGCGCTCAGGCACAATTTTCCTGTCGTCGCTCGTTCCTCGTTCGTTGCTCCTACTCGTGACGGAGCTGCTGGACACCCTTCACTTCGACTTCGAACGCTTCTGGCAAAAAGAGCGGGACGGCGGAGCAGCCAGAAAGCATAGAAAAATAGCGACGTTTCTCGTGGAATATGCGTCTGGCAAATGCCCCCACGAAAGTGGCACACGTGTCTCCATCGAATAATCCAATAACGAATTGTCCGCGCAATAATTCCCACTGCCATAGATTAACCAAGGATATAACGTTGGCGAAGTGGGAAAGGGAAACATGACGTACGGCGGTGGAGGTCAGCTCTTCGTGAATATAATGGCGTCCGAATTGTTGCAGTGTTGTCACGTTCAATTTTCTATACGGTACGACGCGGTTGCGTTGTAACGCTTCGGCGACATTTTAATTCGTCATTTTTCCTTCAATGAAAAAAAAATACACGGCATGTTCTTGTGATACTGTTATGTTGACTTTTTACAAGTACTTACGCATTGTTACCACAATCACGTCACAATATGTAAATGTTTATAATGATGTATGATTCGACAAGAGAGAAATGATAAAAATATAATATGGTTAAAAAATAATTCCACGTGTTTTTCTCCTTCACTCTGGTGCATTTGATGCATTTTCTCAATCTCCTTCTTTCCTTCGGTCTTTTCTTTTATATTTCTCCCCGTGTCCAGCTCAAAATCAGTACATCCACCAGAGTCTCTAGAACCTACTTAATTTGAACCGCAGAAAATAGCGGAATTCCATTGAAGGCATTGCGTATATCCGAATTCACCTAAAGATTGGCTTCATGTGACGGATCGATCGATCGAGATAGCCGATGCTAGACGGAGACGTTCAAGCTGCAAGGATTGACCCAATGAATCTTTATTTTGACCTGATTCATGCCTGCCTGCCTGCCTGCTATCCAACGATATACTTTTCGTCAGGGAACTGACTTTCCATCGTCGCTCGGTAATGGTTGCTTTGTACTTAAAATTCCACCTTACTTACCACTTCTTCTTCCCCATTGCTTCTCTTTTCCAACACCTGCGATCAAAGAAGCTCTCTGGCTGTTATGAAAGCTTTTACCTTATACCTGGTCTCACATTGCGAAAGAAACTCAAAGCTGCTGTATAATATCTTATATAATGTATATCGTTAACGATTGTCTTCTTCTCATTGTCAGTATATTCCGGATATGACCTACTTTAATACGAGTCCATTTACATGAAATATATACAATCGTTTCCAAGAGTCAAGTAATTTTACACAAAAGTATTTATTAACCTCCTGCTCTCTAGCCCTTGCACGCATATAACACGGAAAATATACATGAGGGTACGTTACGTCGCAGTTACGTGAAACGTGTGAAATATCTGCACGGGCATGTCACCAGAATAAAGCTAAAATAATACGCAACCGAGACGAATGGAGGAGAATAAGAATTTGCTGGTCTTGTATTTCCTCGGGGAGTAACGCATGCATTAAAATATGTACGTATACATAGATACATACCACAAATGATACTGCCCTTCAGCATATCTTCGTCCGAGACAACATGTCGAATCTCTCCATTAACTTCTCTGGGGCCAATCTTCCGCACCGTGTGACTTTTAATTGAAAAATATAAACTCTTGTTTAAAGGTGGCATCGGTGGACGTGCATCGTGAAATTCCATGCAACTGAGAAAACCTGAACTTATTACAGTGCATCTCTTCCCTTTCTGACAGCATCAACAAATTGGACGTCTCTGACAATGTTCGCGTATTACATCTGATGCCTGAATATATTCAAAGACTCCGGACATCAGTAACGATAACCGTAATTCCAGATGAAATCATTCAAGTTTTTTAAATTTTCTGAAGTTGCTTCGAACAAATTGAGATTGATTTCTTATTTTTATCTATCGACCCCGTCGAACTCATAGGAATGCTGGTCCCTCGACTGGACGCGTTCTCTGTGCATTCAGGTTACAGACTACATAATTTACATGGCAGATACTCTCTCCTCTCAGACTCAAGCTACGTTTGATAGCACTACTTCGTAGGAGACACTTTATTAGTATGTACGTGAAATAATTCGCTTTTTTGGAACATCCGAGACACGACTTCGAAGCCCTGACGTTTGGCGGTTGAATGATCTTCCGAAACAAAAGATGAGTTGGGTAATATTTACAAACAAATGTGTCCTTCGATGAAGAAGGGAATTGACCGCTAAGCGAGCTAATCCTCCAGAGCTGATGTGCTATTCTTATTCGTACTCGTGTCCATGCGTGTGACGAGCAGTCTGGGCTTGTAAACGGTGAAGCACAGGACAAGAAAAGGCCGATGACGGGTGTTCAGATTCAAAGATGTGTGCGGAAATTGTCCAGTCGAGAGGATCATTGAACTTGTGATTTTGTCAACATGGAGAAAATAGTGCACGGTGCTGAAGGGAGGCCAACCGAACCGCGCGCGGCCATCCGTTGTGTCAAGAAGAAAAAACGCAAAAAGGATCTCGAATTGCTTCGCCGGCAAGTTTTAGAAGCAAAACGCAACTCGGTAGGTACTACTTGATGAACAGCAGTGTACGTTATTCTTATCTAAGACCGAAATACATATCACGATACTCGAATGGATAGCAAGAGCTAAATAACAACTCGAACGAGCAGATGACATTTGCGCGACACTAGCGCTCTGTGTCTTCTCGATTGCGCATGCGCGATCCCGGCGGCCATAATGAATCGATTCAAATGAGACACTGCACAATCATTTGATTGAATGTGCAATGTTGTGTCTTACAAGTATAAATGTGCCTAATTGCAGAGTACGACGACAGCTATTAACAATGATATTAATAATTAATTAAAAAAAGAAAATTTTCAACTAATATCGGAAAACTGATACTATTAAATTGGATGTTAACATGATACCCATAGAGCATGAGCCACGCTGTAATTATTTTTATGAGAATACTCATACCCTTGTAAGAGATTGACATGTTATCAGGAAGTAATAGTGATATTAATAATCTCACAGCGTAAAGAAGCAGCACCGTCAAAAGTCCGAAAGACGAGCCTCACAAGAGCCTTAAATTATTTTGCTGACCAAAGACAGGAAAACGTAACGTTCATTCACATCCTTTTTACATAAGGGAAACGTATTGCGTGATTAAATCCGTATTGGTAGTTAAAGGACTGGATCTCTTTCAGGATAAGAAAACTCGCGGAGTCGACAGGACGGGTAAGAAAGTTGGAAAACGAAAGATCTGCACGAAACTCCTTTCAGTAAGCATTACAGCCTTTAGTTTCTTTTCTTGTATCACTGAACTTTTATTCGCCAATCTCAATATTATTTTCATTACAAACAGTTGAACGAGCAACGAATTGGCATTTTCGCAAAAGGCTCGAAGGGCGACCGAATTAAAAGAGGTTCGTATACGCGTGTACCTCTTGTGAGCGACAATCCCTCAAGGGGTAAATTCAATGCCAGTGAACAAATGGATGAAACTTATTACAGAGAATCAGAATTCGAGCGAAGAGAACAGGGCGCGACTTCGTGGAGAGATTCATAGGCTTATGAACGGCATCAACTCCAATTGGAGGTACGTTCTCATTCAGGTTCTGCTTATCAATTGTTTTCCTCCTCTATTATGGTAACATACATATATGTATAGATAGTCCCGGAACACGTTTCAGAACGGGCTTTAGTTTCGTTTTCGTAAAGCGTCACATCGTTATTATATCATGAAGTAGCTACCACAAATTTCATCTATTGGGTTTTTAATGACATCCTTTTGACCGAATCTCTCCTATCCGGGTTCCTCATTCATTTCAAATAATAGTGATGACTCGATCTGTGTTTGAAATGCCCTATTAAAAATCTTTTCTGTTACTGAGATTCTGCCACTCGATCGTTTAGTTTATGCTAGATCCTCTCTTACATGTACTAATTTCTTTTTCGCTCGGCAAAGATCACCTACGAATTCTTCTGATCACAGTCCACCTGCGGACAATAACAAGAGTCCAATACTGGGTAATATTAATCAGTACGTTTTTGAGTTTCTTGAGTACTGTTACACGTCAAATGCAAAAGTAAATCATCCAGCTATAGGTTTCTCCCTTTATTATCGTTGCGTCAGGCCAAAACGACATTCACGTGGCGATGAGCTTCGAACAAGGAAACATACGAAAAAAAAGGAATTCCAAGACCTTGATCACATAGACTTGGCAGCCGCAGAGGTTCCACCCCCGCGTACGCAAAAGGAGAATAGATACAAGAGGAGACTTTTTGAGGATGATGTGGACGACAATTTCGGCAAAATGGATCGTTTCCTTGCGGAGGAATTACGGTGAGGAAATTATTTAATTTTATTTATGCGCTTGCACAGTTTAAAAGTCACCGTCATGTGCGATATCTTCTATAGATTTTCTCCGAAAATTATGTCGAGCGGAATTTCCACAACGAATGGTACTCCTGAAAATAATGCTTCGGACAGAGAGATTACAAATCAGTCGGAAAACACAAAAATACCATTCTTTGCACTACGAAATGCAAACTGGTCGCCGACAAGGCGATACGACAGACTCTGCACGATGATTTGCTCTGAGAAGTTTGAAAATTGCTTGGAGGAAATTCAATATAGAGGTACGTCTGCGTGTGCTCGTGGCAAATAATGTATCGTTTCCAGAAGTCTCTGAAACAGCCTGCGAGTTCCTTTTAGATCCTCTAAAGAAAGCCAAACGCACCCTGATGGGCATCTACGCGGACTCGTGCAGGCAACACTTGTTGCGCCAAAGGAGTAATGCGTACAATGGATTGGAGAATTCAAGCACTTCGAGTTCCTTGTCAGAAACTGAAGATCAGGTCGACATAACCGAGGATACTGATGCTCTTTCCTCTGCAGAAGATTCGGATGTTCTCTCAGAGCCCGAAAAGAAACATGCAAGGATAGGCAGGAAGGAAAAGGATTGGTTGGCTGCCGCTCAGGCGAGAACCACCAATCACGCTGATAGGAGACTTTCTCAGATCTCAGAATCAGAATCAGAAAGTCTCGACAATTCCAGAGAGCCGTTTCATTGGCTCGATGCTAATAAGAGAAAAGGAGTCAAAGGCTGTAAGCGCAATACTCGTAAAGTTTTTGCGCAGGACTCGCATGAGGGCAACGAAAAACTTTCAATGGCTTCTCTGCGTGTAAACATCGACGCCAAAAGTTGGAATATCGTCGACAGACCAAAGTCTGACGTTATTCCATTTGGGAATATGTCGAACGTTGTGAAACGCGAAGCTTTCATGATTAAGTTTCTTGAAAATTTGAATATGAATAAGGCTAAAAAGGATACGCTGAAATTGTCTCCCCAGGAAGCGTATTGGTCCTCTCCCCGGATGCGAAAGTTCTTAGAAGCACAATCTCTGGACGATTCTATAAGCAGACGGAGAAACAACGTGAAATATGTTAAGGATCCTGCCGTATTGAAATTTGGCAATTATCAGAATGTCGCAGAATTTGAGGATTTACCTCGGAAAATACGTTTTCCCAGGACTACGAAATACGTTCCAGCTATTCTGCGTAGACCGAAAACCCGCAAGTCGACTGAACAGGCCGATATTTCTGATCCTCTTTTCCCCTTCAGAGTGAACGTCGATAAGGCCACCGAGACTGATCCACACGATGAAGATACCCGAAAGAAGAATAAATATGAAATGGAGGCTGCGCCATCGTTTGCCATTCCGAAAATGCAAGATCTTACTCAAAGCCGGATGACTACGGATATTTCCTTTTCCGAATTCGAGACGCATCTGCAGACACCAAGTATTGTAAATGCGTATCTGGAGCACAAAAATGGTCTGATGAAATCCAAAGTGAACTTCATGAATGCAAAGTACAGGACAGTTTCACGGGACATATACGAAGATAACGAAAGGCAGGGATACTCCCGTAACGAGGAAAGAAACTGCGTTCAGCAGGCTGAATGCGGCTTCGATCCAAAAAACACGAAGGGCAACATTCTGCAACAAAGTTCAAAGGAGGTCGCGCCGCTTCTTACTCGTAATAAAGATATTGCAACGTTACAGGAAAAGTATATACGAGAACTCGTTCCGCATCGCGAAGAAAATCCAGCTCAAGGAGAATCTCACAAGAATTGTGCGAAAACCGTGAGATTCCTTCGAGCCGAGCCTAACGGTTCGGCAGAAGACCGTGCATCTCGTCAACGGGCTGGCAACGAGCTTCCCAGAAACGAAGGGCAGAATTGCAAAGCGTCGAACTCGAAGTGCCGAGATGCGCGAGACTTTGGAAATTTCACGGAGCTTGCAAGTGAAAATTTGACTCGCGGCGGCATGAAAACTGATAATTTTCACCGAGAAAATCAGAAGCAGCCGGATGGTTTGGAGATTTTGAGATGCGAGAATGGGGGGAATCAAAGGCTCAACTACGCCGCTCAGAATGCCGGAGCGCAAAGTGAACTACAGAAACTCGTAGTGACATCCTCGTTTGATAACGAGGACTCGCGGGACCCGTCAAATTTTCATGCGTGCAAACCTGCCGATGGATTGGTACGCGTAATCGCCTTGGAAAATCAATCGGACACCTGTCGACGTCCTGAATTCATCGAAAGGGCGCAGGAAGCTACCAACTTGTGCGAGGACGTCCAGCCGGCCAAGTATCTAGCCTTCGACAGTTCTCAAAATATTCAGAGAATTCCTATTTACATTCGGAATGACCGTGTCGGCGGTTTGGCTTCCGAATCTTGTTCTGCCGGTCTTGCGAATTTCACTAAGAATCGGCAGGGGGAGCAGAATGCTGCTAAAAATGTCGAGCACAAGATAGTGATCGTACCCAGAGCCGAGGAGAACAGTGGGATCCTTTACGCACAGGACACGCAAGCGCCTCGGCCTCTCCTGAAGGATGCTCCTGGCGGCGCATTTCAAAACTCCGAAGTCACTTGTCCCGGATATCCTGTCGCGGCTACGAAGAATTTCTACGGGCAAACAGTGGCTCCTAGAGAGTTCTCTCAAGGTGGCGCCGCCGCTCATCGTATTCTACAAAATGTACAAATAATCGAGCCACTCTTTCAAAATAAAGAGAGAAACCATTGTTACCCCGGGGTCGTCTATCAGGAGGGTGACCGCATGGTCGCGAGCTTCATGGCGGAGCCAATGGGGATTACGAAGAATAACGAAAATTCCAGGAAACAATTTGAAAATGCATGTTCGTTCGAAAGTGGGCAGGATTCTGAACGTCAGTCGCACTGCACGGCGTGCGCGCACTCGCGGGGACATCCCAATCCTCCGAAAAGAATTCAATTGTCGAACGGCACAGTGGGTCTACTCGTGCCAAGAAATAATTCACATCCGAATATGACACAGAGACAAGAAAGCGTAGCTGGTTGTGGTGTCGTTTATACGGGCCAGAATAGTAACTTTCAATGGGTTATAGATCCGACCTATCAGGATGGTGGACGCACGAGGATCCAGGTAAAATTTACAAGAATCCAACGTGCGTGGATGTGAACTTTTAAGATCGGTGTCACACGTTTTCAATGTTTACTTTTTATTTTTAGACCGATGGAAATTGGGATCGTTTACACCAGCGATTCGTGCAGCCGGTAATTATCTGAATCTTATCATTTTGAAGCAAATGGCTCACTCCAATGACTTTTCAATAGTTCTTCATGAATTCTAATGAATTTTCAGGTTTACAATATTATAGATGCGCATCCGTCGCAAGTTTCCACAAATAAGTTTCCTACTGGTTTTTAAGCCTGAGTACACTGATACCGATCAAGATATTCTACGTGTACTCATATATACTAAAATATTGTATCATAAACAAGTTATGGAAACGGCTGTGCACGAATTAATGCAATTGGGAAAAGCCGCAGCTGCCGATACGGAAAGAATCATTAAAGATTCTCATACCATTAAATCGTAAAGAAGATTATATTATATATTTCAAAGATTCACTTTGTTAACGCAAACGCATATTGCAGTTTGGTTTTGTGTAATTAGTCAACAGTAGCGACTTAAATGAACGCGGCGAGCCAGTAATTATGACGACGCCATCTTTATTTCGAAACTGTAAACAGTAATGTATGATTAAATAAATAAAATTAAAGCTCTCTAACTATACGACGAGCGTGAGTACGTAGCGTTACGTTTTAATTGAATTTATCGAGTTTTCGCATGACTACCTTCAACCGCCAAGGTCGTCAGGATGGCAATCAAATACTTTCCATAAATGAATCATCGTCTCTATCCGGATAAGAACGCCCATTGCGTTTTCCTGCAGTTCGATTTTATAAAAAGTCCTACGTTATTCACTGGCGCGCTTTTCTAACAGATCGAGCTCCCCAGTTCACTGGAATTCATCAATTTTTGTCTTCTTTTCCATGCTCCTGCTAAAAGTCACTCGAGTTAACGGCTGACAGATCGACCTGCCGTGACTTCATAATGATGGCGAAGCTGCCTAAATACCGCATATTTCCCGACTTTCCGATTTCCCGATTTCCTGATTTCTCGAGTGCGGGAGCAACAGACAATTAGCAATTGGCCTATCGAAGGACGAGATTTGCAATCTGTCGCAGGAAACAGTGGCGCCCATTCGACGCTTAGTCCTGCCGCGTATCAGCAATATGGGCAACGCATCCGGGAACTTAATCTCGTTTGGGCATTTTTTACTGCCTTTTCTCTCTCTCTCTCTCTCTCTCTCTCTCTCTCTCTGTTCTTCTTCCTTCTCCTTCTGCCACATCACTAATGCTATACTATACACGAATTTATACTGATAATATTATTTTTCTCTGACTCTGTCAACCGCCAGTTTTTTGCGTGACAAGTTCAAAGCAAAATAAGTTTTATTTTTTCTTTAATTCAGGCAATCAAAGTTTCCTTTCCTTTCCCTTTCCCCGAAGATGTTTCTCGGATCCTCGAAGCTTCTGCCGGATAGGTGGGAATCGATGATGACGCGTAGAATACCAAGTGTAAATTTTTGTTTGACGAAGCATCTAGAAAGGGAAGCGCATCCAGTGCGAATGACCAAAACAAGATGAAATCCGTTAGCGGAAACTGCCGTCAAGGCCTGATAGGTTTCTTATCGTCGTCAACAGAGATAGGTAGCAGTTACAGACACGCACGAGCGGAAGTAGTGACTCCGCCTCCTCGTCCGGAACAGTGTCAATACCGGGAGCTTAAACCATTCATATTCAAAGGCGGTCAGTCGACACGGTGCGAACTGTATTTTTACAATTCAGAGTCCCAGTAGCTGCCGACGTTTTCCTCCGGTGACTCCATTTCTCTCCTTGTCCGAGCGGACAGTTTTCACGTTGCAAGTGCATCATCTGGAAACAGCCAGCCAGCCAGCCAGCCAGCCAGCCAATCCGATAGAAGCCTCTACGAATTCTTATTCGCAAAGAATATTTAACGGCGACGAGAAAAAGCTGCGTCTCTGAACTGAACGATTGAGAGATTGTGTGGCCCTCGAGAGAGTGATGTGGAGTGTCGAAGCAGTCTGCAAGGATACAATTTAAGATGAAATGCACCACAGCGATTATCCTCGTTGCTATTGGACTCTGCTTCGAAGCTTCCTGGCAATTGCCCAGTGAGTATGCGATGGCGTCTTCTGTGTTTTTCCTTTTGGTTTAATGAAAAGTCTTTTGAATTGCAATAGCAGGTGTTTCGAAGTTCTTCCGAAGGAAAACATTAAAGGAAGAAACGAAAGAGAAATGAAAAATCATTACGCTTTGCACCTTTCGTATTTTCATTAAAAATTGTCTTTTGTCAAACTCGCGGTTAACCTTTGAAATCTAAACTGCTTGCTCGTGTATCGGCACAGCTCCGTTTTAATGAGCCCGCGTTTCGCTGGATCGCCAATTTAAAAAGAACCTCAAGTGCGATATCACTTTACTGTATACGTGCACGCGTCGTCATTATTTTGTTGTTTTTAGTGTTGGCAGCCATTCCATGTTCGAAACCTTGAAAATTATTAGAATTGCGGGCTGGAATATGATATTGCTTCAGATTACGAAAACTCGGATATTCGTTGGTTCTGCAGCTTGGCAGCTCGGCAGCTCGGCAGCTCGGCAAGATCATTCGGCCGGTTCTGAATGGGTCGATAGAATTTCGGGACAGTATCGGAAAGTCTCGATTAACCAATTGAAGCGGGAGAGCCAAATAGTACATGTTAATAGAGTAATAGGCGTTGCGCCATTCGATACGCGTCGCATTGACATTATGTAAATGAATCGCATCGAAATGTGCAATTTCGCACAGTGTTTGTTCAATTGAACGGAGGAATTCAAGTTTTCGCGAGTCGGTGAAAAAGCGTAGAGGCGCAGGAGCCTCGGAGGCTGCAGCACTCGAGTCTCGCGTGTCCCGATTCCTCTTGATCGTCGTCCTATTAAGATTCTGCATTGTAGAAAATCGTTAAAATAAAGCTGGGTCGTTCCGAGCAGCGGAGGAACGAATGGTGGAATGGTGAGACGGTAACCAAAGCTGCCAGTTTAATTTTCTCTCAGGTAAATGTCAAATAAAACAATTGGCCAACGGGAAGGTTCGCGGGAGGTCACGAGGGAGGATCGTGCGGTTCATTTGCAACGAGGGATTCAGACTTGTCGGCAACAGATATTCCACGTGTATTCGCGGGAGATGGGACACGCCGGCTCCCGTTTGCGTCAGTAAGTATCCGCCCATCGTCCAACTTTAAACTGTTCCTTCGACAGCCCGCACTGAAGGCTTCGACTTTTCATTTGAATATTTATCTTCTATTGTTCACTGATGAGGTTTCATTCGCTAATAAGATTATGCGACGCGCTGCGCCTCCTGTCTTTCGGATGCATCTCGTCCGAAATTAACATGAGAAATAAATGTTGGCTCTTTTTGTCGGAGGCTTGCGCGGACTGTACTATAGCTGTGCTCGTTTGCACGAAACGCGGCACGGCCGGACGAGTGCCGAATCTGTGCCTCTTCTGTGCAGGCTAATTTCTGCTTGACCTCGTTCGAATAATCCAATAATTGTTCGAGCTGTTTACCGATCACTCTGGACTATCGGTCGTAATTTTCTAATAGATTCCGAGTGTCCGACGCTTCCCCTGCCGGAGCACGCGCTGCTCGCGCCCAAGTTCAATGGCGCAGTGATGACGTACTTTTGCGAGCCGGGCTACCAACTGATCGGCACTTCGGAAATTTATTGCGACGGTCGCAACTGGAACGACACAGCCCCCCATTGCAGAGGTATTTTACCCGAATAATAAGTTATTTTCAAGGGAACGATCGTGAAAGCATTTCTAGCAAGCGACATTTTTTAAGACTCGACCGCCACGGCGCCGACCAGCTGCGATTTCGAAAAACCGGATCTCTGCTGGTGGGAAGAGGATCCGACGCATGACTTCGATTGGATCAGGCACAATTTTCAGACCCCGAGTTGGCACATAGGAACGGGACCTTCGCACGACCATACTTTGGGAGCCGGATACGATGGTACGCAGCAGCGAGCCCGCTTCCTCCACTTCGAAATCTCTTTTTGACTTCTCGTTCCAGCAGTTCCTATTCTCTTTCAGGATACTACTTGTACGTCGAAGCGTCCGGCCGTCTCGAGAACGAAACAGCGAGGATCTTTTCTCCACTGTACAATGCGTCACTCACCCAGAGCGGATGCTTCTCCTTCTGGTTGGCAATTTGGTTTCCGCTTTTCTATCTTTATGCTTTATTTTCTCGGTTTGCCTTCCTCTTAGTGACCTTGACCACTTTGAAATTCACATCGCCTTTAATTTGACGAGTAGGTACCACATGTACGGCAAGACCATCGGAGCTCTTCAAGTCTACTTCAAACCGGAAACGTCGACCCTTCCTCAGATGATGTTCCGGAGACAGGGAAATCAGGGGAATCAGTGGCACCATGGCCTCTTCAATCTTCCCGCGAGCACCGTTAGCTTTCAAGTGAGTTCACATTTTTATTTTCCATTTTCCAGCCAACCCATTCAAGTGTCAAGTGTCAAGTATCTTACAATTAGTATTAAGGATCTTCGATGGCTCCTCGATCGATCCTTCCTTTTTCTTAATACTTGGACGTAATCGGCATTGCTTCAGATAATAATAGAAGGCATCAGAGGCTCGAGTTACGTGAGCGACATAGCAATCGATGACGTGGCGATTTTACATGGCGATCAGTGCATCATCAAGAATGAGACATCGAGCGACACGACCGACGCGACCGCGAGCGACGGTACGTTCTCCTGAGTTTAATTGGTCCATTTCTTTTTTTACTTCCCGCAGACCCACCGGGAAGTTTCGAAGTCTTCTCGAGCTTTGCCCTGCCTTCCGACAGGGAGGATATTTAACGGGAAAAGTACAATGGGAACGACATCTTCAATATACCTACCTCCTAGTATCTTCTTATCTTGCTGGCCCTATAGTCGTCGTGACACGTGTTTTCTTGATCCTGTCGAGTTAATAAGACATCACTTGGCAAATGGCAAATCCGTTCTTTGCTCTACTAAACTCAACAGTAGTATGATATAAATATGACTCAGTTGAAAATTGTCAAGTTTCCTTCAGATCAGATTGAGATCGTCAATGCTATGCAATCCTGTCGAGGAAGGTGCTTCGGTTCGAATGCGTCCAGCGTGGTCCAGCCGATGTCGATGGATCTGTGTCAGTGCACTGTCGACTGCGCGGAGAATTCCCTCTGCTGTCCAGACTACGCAGAATATTGCGTTCTAGGTAATCCTCAAAATATATATATATATGTACGTATACTGTAAATCGCTGCGTTAACGCGTCAACTCCTTTTATACTCTACTGAATTATTCCTGACAAGGCAAGTAAGCAAGTTCACCCGTGATATCGGTTTATACAGAAAATTCAACAGACACCGACGGGACTACGGAACCGATTCCGAGAACAGCAACAATGGCGGGCAGCACTACGAAACGAAAGGAATCGCCTGTCAGCGAGAAGCCGATCATCCCTACGAAGGATCCCACCAAGAATATTATTCCAATAATTCCCAAGGACGACATCGACCCAGAAGACACTCCAAATCCATCTGAGAAACCAAAACCCGTAACTGAGAAATCAATAATCACCTCGAGCACAAGAAAGTCCTTCGTGGTTTCCACAACGTCACGAATAATTACGTCAAAAATCATTAATACTACAACGAGTCGTTCCATAACGACACTCGACGACAATAAGCCGGAATATCAGACTGGTAAGTTTTTTTTTTTTTTTTCCCAATCGATCGAGACTTCAAATGGTCCTCGCATGAGAGTTCTTAATCGTGACAGTGATAAGAATGCCTTCCTGTCGACTGCTGCAGACTCGCACGTGCACATCGAGATCGCGGAGCCGCTGCACGACGAGCCGTCGCCATTGAGCCTCGCAGGAGTCGTCGGTATCGTTATCGGCACGCTGGCGGGACTCGCGATAACCACTGTGATAGCGCTGGTGATCCTTCGCAAGAGAAAAAGCTACAAGAGAGGCGCCCAAGATTCCGGACTGTCGGAGGACAGTGACGTCAGGTTTCTCACTTCCGACGAGGTTCTCGATTTTACTCTGGCCAAGCCCAGCGATTACGAGGAACTTTGACGAGTGTCGTTCTGACTCTGCACCAGTGAGTTTCGAATTCTACAGTGGGACCGTCCAGTGCTGGATTTTAGGCTGAGATTTTCAGAATCTCAATGGAATCGGAAGACGCTGATGGATTCCACGGAGCCAGGAAGATCGACATCGTACACGATTTACATGCACTCTACAGATATTTAGCCAATGTACAGATAGTCTATGAGGTTCAGTCGTTGAGGTACTTTTAGAAAAGAATACCTCAATTGATTCATATCAAGATTATGCGAAGCACGAATGCTTATCTGATAATTTATACGATCTTTCAATAGTTTATGGAATCTTTCGTGCCCCCGGTTTAACGATTAGTCATTCATATTGGACAAACCTCCGTCTTCGTTAAGAAAAGCTCATACGAATTTGTATACTCAAGTCCATGAAGAATAATAGTTTTTACAACTCACCTACATTTGCCAATTTTATGCATACGGGGTAAGTGGTGGTCCCTCTGTTGCGAACGGACAGGCTGAGATCGTTAATAAATTCTATAATAGTGTAACACACACGGTATATGCATATTTATTATGAAATAAATAAAAGTATATGGTATCACAATGATTGCGTACGTCGAGGAGGACGTCGATCATACGATCGACATAAATAGGTTTTAACGATACACGTCTACTGGTCGGACACCTCCGTTTTCGATATCTCATTAACTCCGTGTAAATATATCGCGATTCTACTTCGCCAAATTTTTCCAGGTCTCCACTCTTTTACAATGATTATCATAATCATTCCATCAACTCTCATTCCACATAGTAATACAGACGTACGTGAGAGAAACTCTTGTGTAACGCAATAAGCGCCAGGATATAGTTTGAAATTCGATGCGATACATCAACGGATCGCATTTCTCTTAAATGACAAGAATTAAAGAAACAATAATGATAGTAATGGAAGCGTAGGTTAATTTACTTTTCATGTAATACTACCATAGCTCCCGATTATTTTACGACTATACGGTCTCTATTTGTCTATACAGGTAGGTCAATGCAAAATGTAATTACAATTTCGTGCAATTTTACAGACACACAGCTACATTCTCACATACTTAATTGCACGAATATCTCACATACTGACGTAGCTCGGATAGTACCGACAATCAGGCCGAAAATACGAGCCTACCGTAATCTTTCATGGGGAATCACGGCGGGAGGATATACGGCGAATTCAAAAGTTCTTCCAGCAGCATTCACGATTCACAGTAGAATCTCTATCGTTTTGCGGCAAGTCTTTTGCCGATGCACTAAATCTATGCCGAGAGGGGCTAAGCATTAGGACGATTGGCGCCGTCTATGACGAAATACGATTTTTCTAGTGGTCAGAGGCGCATGTGCCGACTAAACGTGACACGCGCTTTCTAACGTTGTGCGTTCTCGGGTGTGTTGCACTACTTTCAGTACTGTGGACGTGCAACGACAGCGGTCATAAATTGCCCTTGTTCTCGATAACGAAACTGTTTTACTCACGCGGCTATGCCAGTTCGTGAGTCTCTACCATTTTCAATGTTTCTACGTTTCCTCTCGTTTCGAGGGAAAGACAAAAATTCGGAAGTTACTGTTTTCTCTTCGTTCCGCAAGGAATCCGCAACTCAGTTTTAACTCCGAGGAAAATTCGGAGTTGGAGTATTCACGGTGCCCCAGAAGAGGAGAAGCTTTGTGGGTTCGTGACGTATGAAAAACAGGAATGGATGATCGGCAACGAGCCTCTTCTGAGAACCGTCCTTTGTGAGAATTATCGACGTTGCACCTGCAGCTTCGGTGCCCTTCTCCGTCACTTCAATCTCCACTTTGTGCAGTACATCTTCTGCATAAAGACCCGGATTTCGAAGGCTCGCACTCATCCTGAGCGCGTCCAGACCGAACGACGGAACGTTCTGATCTTCTAGATATTTTAAGAAGTCACCGTCGATGGGCCTGACCTGTCTCACGTGTCGTTGCCAAGTGTTTTCTTGACCTTCAAAGTGATGGTTGTCCTGCCCCAAGTTTGCGGTTCTCCTCTTTGTCCGACCAGCAAAACGTTTATCCAGATTGGCTGCTCGCTTCCTAGAGATCTCAACGTTATCTCGCAGGGGTGCATCACGTTTGTCCTTGGCTTTGACGTTATCGACCTTCTTCTTCTCCTCCTCCCCCTGCTCCTGCTCTCGGAGACGCTCGTTACGTTGCTTCTCGCGGATGGCTCTGCGTATCCTTTTAATGGTAAACCCAGTTGCCCATTGTTCTACACGATAACGACCGACCTTATCCTCGTACCTGAAGAAGTCTTTCTTGGTGGAAGTGGCTGTCGGGGCTCCTGGTAATCTCGTGCCATTTTCGCTGTTTTCTCCAAAACGTGGAAATATAAAAGTGTCCTGACTCGGACTCTGAGAATTCAAGTTTTGCTGCGGGATTACAGGTCGTTGTGGTTGTGCCTGTAGGATCGACGATCCTGAATTTATTCCCAATCCTGGCGATAGAATGCTCAGGTCTGCCACTTCAGGATCGAACAATGAAGTCAGACCCAAGGACTGGAGCGCCTTACTTAGGCTGAGAGTGCTCGAGAGCTTCATGCGGGGAAGACCGATAATGCACGTCTGATTTCTCATGCTATCGATCCAACTTTCTAGGACATTGCGATTTAGGCGAGACTTGAGGTTTCTTAAGGCTCCTTGTTCCTTAGAATTTGGCAGAACGACATACATCGTCACCTAAAGATAACAAGAGAATTCTTTAGTTCTGTACGAAAGTGCGCTTCTCTATATTTGAAGAATGAAAATAAAAGACTCTTACATCGCCACCCTTGTAGGGTAAACTAACAATTTTTCCCTGCAACTGTTTATCTTCATAAAAAGGAAACTCGCCGGCATTATACATCATATCTACCTCGATGGTTTTTCCAGGAGAAACAGTGAACGATTTCCTATAAGCAAAGGACATATCATCTTAAAATGTGTCAAACTATTACAACGATCGATACTCTCAAAAAAATTCAGGCAAAAAATAAAATCTTTACCAACCTTCTAGTTGCGCCATCAATGAAGTACTGATTCCACTCTCCATTAAAGTACAAAGCGGATGCAATAATAACGTTGGTTTCCGGTCTGGGCACATCATTCAGTATATTCATAATTTTTCCCCTGGTCCTTTGATTAACCCACGAATTGATAGCCTGTTCCGCCTCGCCTCCTTGATTCCGGAAATCGAGATTTATAACCTCACTCTTATAGACTCTCTGGCTGATAGCTCTGAATTCAGGTCTGATCGGGTAGCCATCCTGAACGAAAATTCCACTTGCAAAGGCAGTTTGAGGCCCATAAGAGTTCGGCGTCACATCGACTTTCGACAGAAGTGCACCGAACATCTGATGCACGACCTCGGAGTGCCTCGAGATGTCGACACCCGCCTCCAAACCCAAAATCCTCGAGACTTCGTCGAAAGTCCTGCCCGAGGATCCCAAAAGAACCAAGGTCAGAGCACCAGCGAGACTCAACGGAGAAAAAATGACATTCTCGTTGGTATTGGAAATTACGTGATCCATGTCCAGCGTGAATTTCATAATGCCCCGTGAAATGATGTCATTAACCTAAAACAACAGATATCATCGAAATATTGAGAGGCGGATGAAGATTATACTATAAAAATGAGTATTCAGTGAGTGTTCAGTTCAATGAACGATGCGATTACGAGGAAGGAAACAGAGAAGAAATAGCTCACATGCGTGTCCCACGGCTGCTGCAGCGGAATCGCGGACTGCGCTGCTGGAAGTGGTGCTGCAGCTGCGGCCGAAGCAACCGGAAACGCATTTTGCAAGAAAGCGCTTTGCTCGGGAACAGGCGCCTGCGCCTGCTTGGGCTGAGCAGCTGCTGAAGAGTGAGACAACGAGCTTGCCGAGGACGTTCTCATCATCTCTAGTTGGTCCGGATAGATGAGCTGGCTGCTGCACCAGGAGACCAGCACGTTGAGTAGCACCAGTAGCTTCATTTCTGAAAAGCAAGTTTCAAAAACATCAAAATCCCGTTGAATTAATCGTCGTACATCAAATGTTTATACAAGCTACGATCGTCTTCGGGACAATAAAGGGATCCGAAGAATTTATCTAAAAATATAACGTTGCTCGCTCGTACATACATCTATGCACACCAAACTATGTTACCCTGTTCGGAATTCCCGCTTTGACGAAATGCTCACAAATTCGAGAATCCGAAACAAATACGCGGAAGTAATTGATGAAATTGGACGTTCGACATTCAACTTCGTTCCCGAGGAAGCTTCCCCCATGACTCATGTGGGTTATGAGGGTCGCTCTATCGTCCTTGCTCCACCGTTATGCAAAAGCCCTCCCCCCTTGAGTTATAAATATCGAGCATCATTTCCGATAGATATGTGACCAAGTGGCCGTTAGAGCTACAAGAATAAGTCGCCAACAAAGAAGTCACGAAAATCCTTCTCCAATTCATTTTATTATTGTAATTATATTGTCATCTTTATTTCTTTCTCTTTTGCGCAACACCACTGCGGACTAAAAACTCTTGCGCCTTTAAGGCGTCCTTCGTGTACAGCCTATTTTTATGTCGACGCGCCAGTCGCCGAGGCTATTGTCATTTGAGCAACATTAGGTACTGATGACACGACTACGTGATCCTTCGTAATCCTTCTTATCGTCAACGCGAGCGACTGTGAGAGCCGGACCGAAGGACGCGGCACCTAGTTATGTAAAAAGTCACCCACGCGACGCTCTGAAGAATTTCGGTGAAAGCCTCTTCAATTCGTATAAAGACAGCAAAATATATTTTACGCAACCGTGACAACTTCTTAAATAAGATGGCTAATGGGATTGAAAATGCTAGGTGTAACATCTATTAAAAATAAAATAAAATACCGTCGCCAATTTGAGGTCGATGATCGAGTGACTGTACCTCGTAAATCATTCCACGTAAATTCCCTCTTAAGGCATTTTCACGCTCAGTCGTGCCAACCGTTTGCACCTGAAGTATTACAAAGCCATTTCATAGGCCTCGTCGTCCTTTATACGTTATTTCCAGGACGGAAAATCAATACATTTCGGTCGATAGATGGGAAGGTGGTAGGGAAAGCGCGATGAAGGAGGCGGACTGAATTCGCGTGAGCCCAACGCTCCCATTCCTCCGACTAAGGTTACTTGTAGAAGGACACGCGCGTCCTTTAGAAATGGATTATTTCCCCTCCACGTTCAGACCCGCCGCCATCTACGTGGATAATCCTACGGATGGATAATCAGTCCAGCGTCATGGGTAAATCGAGAATGAAGATGCACGCCTGGAGATAGACAATTGTTGCAACAGTTACGCCGCTATGCAGATAAGTCGATGGAGATCTGATCGCGAAATGAAATACACGCAGCATGCAGCTTTGAGCTATTTTCGTTTAGAAATAATTTAGTTCGAAGGGTTGCGTGAGTCACGAACAATCTGCATGTCATGCATGACATGCGGTAATGGTACTGACAATTTCTCCATAAGCGTCCCTCCTCCTGTAGGGACTTGACGACACTTTCATCGATGCTTTAGGTGTGTACGGGAGTAAATAAAACAGGGCCATGGTCGCGCGACTCGAAAGTTGTGAGGATTTAGTCGGATGAGAACAACGGGGTGTTGTATCTGTCGAGCAGATGGAGGAACGCTTGACATTCAAGGTTCAATGCCGGAACACATGCCGCTTCGAACAAATGAAAACGTACTGCGTCACATAACCGTAAAACTGCCAAATTGCTCTTTCAAAAAATCTGTGACCTCTTTTTGTTTTTATAGACGCATCACCGAGTAAACGACTTTCGAACATACATTCGTACGTCATTTCCGACAGGTCAAAAGAGCCCAGTGTCTTTGATAGTCAGTTAGTCGTTGTAATTCTTAAGTACTCAACTTCAAATCCCTTTATCACAGCGCATGTCTCTCAGACGCAAAGCAGAAACGTGCTACTAAGAATTAGAATGTTAACAAGAAAGGGTAGACCGCACTGTGGATGAGTTCTTACGTAACACAGAGCGACGATCTACGGAGGAGCCTTTATTTACAATGAAATGCAAGACAGTTGCGTCAGATCAGGAGAATGCAAAGAGAGAGAAAGCATGCGACCACGCTTAACCAATCCCAAATTAGCTACGACGCGACCAACGCGTACGTTTCTCGTTCTCTTTAGTAAATGTAAAACTAAAATATTAATGACAGCTCCTACCTTTATATAACACAAAAGACACAGCGAACATTGAGCGTGGAAGAACATTGTAGACAGTGCGTTTCTAATGCATAGTGTGCTTGGTTCGTCGTAAGTTTTAGACGAGAAGTCCTAGCGGACAATTTATAGGAGGGAGTCACTCAAGTGTTAATTCGCGTATCTCCGACATTCTGTTGACTTAACGGACGGCCAACAAGATTTATTCCCGAAAAAATTAAACTCCTGCATTTGAATATTTCGCGCGACTGCCGATTACACGACTTTTTTAAAATGCTCGGCAGTCATTCGATGCCGATATTTCATAAGAAAGGAATTGCAAGGTCGCCCGTTAAACTTGACTCGTAGCCGCTCTCAATTCTCAAGACTGTCACCATATCCTCATTACGTAGTCACTCGCGATTGTAAGGATCGCTTAGGATTAGATTTAGATGATACAAGTAAAAGAACGATATGGGGGCTTGTGTACGTAGTCTGTAATATCAGTAAGCGTAAATTCCTCTTACCTATCGAGTTATCCTGCGACTTTATACAAGCTGTATTTTAACTTCAAGTTACTAATTTTTCCACCAAGTACTGAAAAATGTTGCTTTGCAATAGTTTCTTTGTAATGTTGACACTTATCTCTGGCTCACTCCCGTATTTCACAAATGCTTCTCGATACTTGCTATTTTTATCCGGTGATGGGAGTCCAGCATATGAACAGCATACACGTGTCAGTCATCTATAAATAATTTGTGCTACCCGAATTTTGAACTCCTGATAACGAAATATAAACGTTCCGGAAATCTGAAGAATTTGGTGTTCCTCGGGTCAGAATGTACAAACGTAGACAGTGATTTCACGCAAGAGAAACCAGGAGTCGACAAACCGAGCGTCTCGACTCGACTGGCTCTCGTATTGGCTTGCACTCGTATTTACCGCGCTTCTGCCCCCACCACGAATACAAATTCTGCCTTGGGAATCTACGCAATGACGCCAATGATAGTGAAACGACCGATGACAACGCATGTATGTACTACTGACAAATCGATGCATCGGTAAGAGACACACAACGGGCGTTTCCTCTTCCCGACATGCGGGTGCTGGCTTCCGGAGATTCTCTTCCAGTGTGAATTAACCCTTAACTACACGCGCGCAGTACATACCGTGAGACGTCCAACAGACCTCACTAATTTTAAGTTTAGTCCTCCTGTCGAATTTGTCTCTAACAATAAACACATACATTTTCAAAGAACCAAAAGAACACCTACTAGATAATTAATATTTGATACCTATATTCACTAAAATCTAATAAATAAAGAGGAGAACGATGTAAGACGCTACTTTTTAACGATTCCATTCCCTATGTAGCCTTAGAATCCAGTTTCACAGATTGAGGTCTCGCAGACCTCGTCTTGCGAGTTATGCTCCTAAATTCGGACATTTGTAGTTAAGGTTTAAGGTCGACTTGCGTTATATGTAACGTCGACGAAAGTCCCGTCTATTGGACTGGTCGATTGCAATCAGGGTCCGCGATGTTGTCGCTTAGTGGGAATGTCGCCCTTTGAAATCTACTAAATTATATTTCGACATGACGCTTGTCGCTACTTCTCGTAATCTTGACGTTGCGCGTAGCGTGAATCGACCTTTAACTACATCCAAAAACACTTCGCAAAGCATACACACACCTACCGATGTGAGATCCATGTGGCACAGATGTACGTATATTGCGTTTATGTGGGAAGAACGTACAATTATCATATTTTGTCAAAAGTCCTCAGTACAGTCAGTTACAGGATTTCCAAGTACTGTTCATCTACACGCGCGTATGACGTAACAAAGTGCGTAGATGCGTTACGTACGTCAGTCACGTATTAGCTCTTCTCGCGTACCGAGTGACCACAGCGTGCTCTACCACATGGCTCGCATACGAGTAAAGTTCATTGATGGACCCCGTCCAGCATCCTACACTCGTCCGACAGTGAGCGGTGACCGCTTGCTACAGGCGACAAACGATCTTACGGGCGCAACTAAAGAAGGCCCATTTTAAAGACACTTCTCGAAATACCCAAGACAGTGACTCGCAATGGCTTTCCAAAATCTATTTATCCATTTCCGACAGAATTCGTCGGATCACACCACAAGGTCTCGATTGGTACGTTCGAGGCACCGATACATTATTCTTTTCTTATTCGGGGACAAAGTCGCGCCGCGACAAGCAGATTTGCAAGTTTCGAATAATTGGATGGATCATTTTAAATACGCCGGGAAAATCCAATGTTTTGTTGTGCTCCCTTCTATCTCGAGCTCCCGATTATCTTGAACGGAAATTTCCACAAGTCTGACGTAGCAGGCAATCCACGTTTTTCAGGCGAAATTGAACGTAGACACAACATTTACGGTTTAACTCGAAGCATCTAACTTCAAATGAACGGTCGTTTGTTCGTTTGTTCGTTTGTTCGTTTGTTCGTTTGTTCGTTTAGTCGTTTGGACGGGACGCGCGGCCGCGCGTGTCGCAATTGTAGACTGTAGACTCTGCTGGTTGTCTGGTTGTCTGGCTGCCCATCCGTCCAATCGACACTCAACTGGTTGCCTGGCCATCAGGCGGCAGCGCGGCGTTCGGCCGCAGCACGATTGCAGCTTTCGTTATTCTAATTGATTGCTGCAGCCACGCGAGATGCTGATCGTCTCACTAACGATAAGACGCGTGAAAGACCTTGATAATTCATGTCCGTTCTCTCGATGGTACCGAGAAACTTATAGTGCTTCTCTACAATCGTGAATAACCCTGTGTAAATAAAGTCAGCAAGACGCTTCTGCAGTTCCACTTCCATTTGCTATTGACGCTTCGCGTGGGATCTCGATGCTTCTGTAGACTTTAGAATCTTCGAGATTATTCGTTGAGTCGAAGTTTTAACTGTCGCATGTGTCATTTGATAAAAAAGTCCATTGCGACAATGAAAGCACAATTCCAGCTGGTTTTATACGGGTTGCGGATCGCCCCTTTGGTATTCCCTTGGGGAAATACCAGCCTATATTTAAGAGAGGTTCAGCTCGAACAATGTGGTCACCCGTACCGGTCATAAAAGTCATTAGTCCTCTGAACCGTAGTACAAGGCTGTCAAGAAAATATTGCACTTGGCCCAATAATTGTGGCTCCTCCTAATTAATGCTGCTTATTTAGGAGAGCAATACTTTTCTTTTATGGGCACCCTTCTTTCCGAAGAGTTTACGGACGACGTGACGGGTTGTACGCACGCACACGCGGGCACCGTATTTCGTACAGACGTAAGTATTCATTTGAGGTCAGCATCGCAACATCGACCGTGAACTCGAAACTATTATTACTTTACACTCGCGCTATCGATTCTTTATTTAAGCGAAGGATTAAAAAGGTTTATTTTTATTCCTATAGAACTAATTCTAAGTCATCCAGCAATAATGCATGCGTTTGGCAGGTTGAAGTTGCGGGATTCAAAATATGTGCAAATTTACAGGATGCTTACGAAAAGAGAGACATAGGAATATAATAACGGTTATCCTGATCGTTTGCAAGAATGAACTTTAGTGGGAACTTACATACATATGTAAGACTGTGAAAATTGGGGGCTTTCCGAACCAGCAATCGCTTGAGTGCCAATAGAGAAAAGAGGATTAGAACGGTGCTAATCGTAAATGGCCCTCCTTCTCCTGCTCCCAGCACTCGAGGCGCC